CGATCAGCCTCAAGGGGCTTTGTTTTCCGGTCTCACGGAACTCGTTGACGAGGGCTGCCGCTGTTTGCAGGTAGAAGGCCGTGAAAAAGTTTGCCTGAAGTGACGTCCATCGCAGGCGCTTGAACTCGGGCGAGCCGAGCAGGGCCTCGATGGCCCAGTGGGCCCTCGGGTAGTAGGCATCGGAATCGGGGCGCACGTTCGCCGCCGTCGTCGAGATGCGGACGACGTACTCGACGCCTGCTTTCAGTGCGGCTACGTGGAAGGTAGACTCTTCGGCGAACTGGGTCGGCTCATTGTGGGATGCGATGAAGGCCCTCACGACATTGTGCTGCCGAAGCCAGTCCGCCGTGATGCTGACCCAGCTGTACTCGACAACTTCGACGCCAGGCAGAGCAGCGAGTTTCTGTGCTGCAGCGCCGCTTGCGGATCTTGTCATGGCCAGAATCTTGTGGTTCGAGAAGGTAGGGCTGGCCTTGACGAGTTCCGACAGGGTAGCAACAACGGCTTTACCTGTGTTGCCCGTGGCACCAACTACGAGGAAAGCGGAAGTCATCGTGTGATGGGTTCGATTGGGGTGTTTTCGGAGAGTATTCCGGACGTTATGTTGTCTGAGAGAAAGCTCGTATGGAATATGGGCGGTAGTGAAACTCTACAACTCTCATTATACACTCCGCCGCTAGGATGCTGAATAATAAGTATGTATCATGTCTACTGCGGGCCTCGACGTCGAGTTTCAGCTACGCTGCATCTAATGTCCGCGGGCCTGATCGGCGGCCCATCGATGCCTTTCGATGCAACGAGAAGCTAGGAAGGCGGAGCGGCTTTTACACCATCATGCCTCGTTCCAAGTACCTCGGACATGGTGGATTGGAGGTGAGCGAATGAGGTAGAATGTCGACAACGCCAGGCATTTTGCACAGCACCTGGGAAGCGTAAGAGGCCCGAGAAACTCAATTCCTCACATATTCAATTGCACTGCAAGTCATGCTGAATTAGGTACCTTAGGTTAGTGTGGAGTAAGTGAGCATGCGGTGTCACCCACTCGGGGAGCGGACCAATACTCGAGCAGAACGTTTTCGTAGAGTATAGTAATCATGTCCGGCTATGGCTTGATAATCGTTCTGGTTGTTCACGACCATGTCGCCATGTTTGGTGCTAGAGCGGACAGAGCCTCTGCGGACTTTGGCGGAGTTTTGTTTTGATGACGCAGTGGATGCGAAAATGATCAGCGTTGACTATCGCAGCGTCGCATCGCTTTCATTAGTATCCGAACTACTCACACGCCTGAGAGGGAGCATTTGGTGACTTTGAGGTCTGACTTGCAAGGCCATCCTCATGCGGCGAGTAGCATAGAGGCCGGCAAACACAGAGGAAGCTTGGCGTCGTGGAGGGTACCGCTACCGAGCCTTCAGCGAAACATCCCACTCACCGTGAACAACCACACCGAACACATTGGGTCGGTCAAGCTTCACATGGCCCCCACCCCCGCATTAGGTCCAACCACCTGCCAGCTTCTTCTCGATACCTAGGTATGTAAGGACCTACTTGGCCTGTTGCACCCTGCGCCCTTTGGTTGACATGAATGTCAATTTCGATGCGGCTCTGGCCCAAGTTGCATGGGATCGTGCAACAGCGGTTTGCGGTTGGTGCTCCTAGTGCCCACACCTTAGGCAGGCGCGCCTCATCTTCGATCAGGGAAGGTCGTGGAAGATCACAGCCACTCGAGTCACACAGACTGCATCTGCGCTAGCCATCCTCTCTTCGTCCATCTTTCAGCCCTGCAACGTCGAGACTGGATTGTATAAAGCAACATGACCACAACCGTTGACTGAATGGGTTGTCCTTGATGCATCCTGCAATAGTGCGAGCTCCCGCCTTCGTTCCCGTCAGAGCCTCGGCGTCAATTACCTACCATGGCTGCTGCGACACATACCCAATTATCCCAAGCGGTACCTCCATCAATACTCAGCCAATACAAGACATTCCCTTCATCCCAGGGCACCTCCAAGCGTATACACAGCGATGCTCGGGTCGACGAAGTAGAGTTCGATGAGGCCCTTATACTGGCGTCGCTCTGCCGCAAGTATCTTAACCTGCTCCATGCTACCTCGCCTGCTTTCGATCACTGCTACGCATATACCCCTGATGAGATACTCGAACTCCCTCTGATGAAAGTCCGGATCGATGACGTTCTCCACGACCTACCACGGCGAAAATCCAAACGCGCCATGCTGGCAGGCTCCATCGCAGATCTTCTCTTCCCTTGCCACGCCGGCTCGCTCTCGCCCATCATCCGCTATGATGCTGATCGCGTAAAGTTGCATGCCTGGGCAGTGCTTCAGCGAAGATACGACATGATAGTCGCAACTGTAAGGAACGGTCGCACTCGTCATGGTCTTACCGGCCAGGCTGACCCCGGCGTCCCTGCGCCGGTTTGGGCCTCTCGCATCCTGGCACAGGGCCCTTGGAATAAAGACAGCCATCCCATCTCCCTCGGGGGACCTCAGGCACTCCCCATGCCGGTGCAGATTGCCGAGGCCGATGACCTGGCCCCATTCTTCCACCATTTGGAGCAGGGCGGGACACACAAGCTCGGCGCCTCAACTACTGGGCATGCGCTAGACGATGGCAACGGCGAGCCATACTACCACGTCCAGGGCGCCGAATTCCCGAGAGGCGTTGTGTATGAGGATGGTCGCATGGATCTTTGCAAACAGGTCGTGGGGCCTGATCATATCGGCGACCTCATGAACAGCCTGCGGGCCAATGAGCATGTCAAGCACTTCCTCCTTGGCAATAATATCATCGGCCCAGTAGGCGCACATCATATAGCCTCATTCATCAATGCGCTACCTAGCCGCATGGACACCTGGTACCTGGCCGGGAACTGCATTGATGCTCCGAGCTTCAAGACTCTCGTCGACGCCATGATCAAGTCTGATGCTATCACGAACGTTTGGCTCAAACGCAACCCTCTCGGCAGATCTGCTGCCCACGATGTCTATCGGCTGATCACCGAGACAAGAAATCTACGCACGTTGGATCTCGACCAAACTGAGATCGGCGATGCTGGCTTCGTCGAAGTTTTCACTAACCTGGCGGCCTACAAAGATCGGGTGCTCCCCCTGGAGAACTTGTATATGAATGGTACTGGCTTCTCTGAGGCTGCGGCTCGGGCGCTCGCCCAGTTCCTGGCCTCTCCCAATTGCCGCCTGACATCGATATACCTGTCGAGCAACCCCATCGGAGACGACGGCGCTGCAGCCCTTGCCAGTGCCTTTGAAGTCGCTCCCCAGGTCTCACGCCTGCTCTTACAGTCTACCGGCCTTACCACCCGGGGCGCCCAGATTATTTGCGAAGCACTCACATCTCACCCCGGCATCCGCTGCCTCGACCTCGGCCAAGCGTACGCGACACATGATCTAGGCCAGGCGTACAATTACATTGATGAAGGCGCCATCCAAGCTATTACTGGCCTTCTGACCTCGACCCCATCCCTGGCTTCCCTCAACCTCGGTCACTGCCCCATCACTCCCCTGGGTCTTGGCCAGATAACCACAGCAGCGTTACAAAGCTCCCTCCTTGCCTACGTTGCCGTCTCCATCCTACCGGACTCAAACATTAAGAAACTGGGCTTCGTCCCGTCGCGCGACAGTAAGATGCGCGACGCCTCATCCTACACCGCGCCAACCAAGGAGCAGAAAGCCCTCGACCAGGCACTACAGCAGCACATGGAGGCAAACGTCCGGTCTGTCTACGGCGAAGACATGACCTACAGCAGATTCATGGGTGAAGAGCGGAGATGGCTCACCAACGACCGGACCGACGTGAGGAAAATTGACTCTGTGTATCGAAATCGGGACATGGGCCTTGCGCGGCGAGGCCTCGTGACGTTGATCAAGAACTGGAAGGAGGGTGATGATACGCTCGAGAGGGTGATCAAGGCGCAAGGCCCGTTCTGCTGCAAGAAGCGCCGAGCTTGACCTGTGCAGCGTGAGACTTTCAACCTTTGACGTAAGTCTTCGCGAAATAAATTGAGGTTTGAATTTAGCACGTATTTCGGTTCCGGCAATGTAGTTTCATAATTTAGAGGCCTCGATGTACTCCATTCATGAGCACGCAATTTCAACCATTTTAATCGAGTTGTTTTCCTGCATCTGCCAATACCCCAAGCATAAGCGTTTGTGAGCTCAAAGATTACCCCGTGCTAGACTATCACGATTCCAACCTTCGTACGTCTGTCTCCTTCTTGTTGTAGTCCTTGTTTAGTGCAACGTCTCTGGCCTCCTCACAGATACATTCCGCCCTTGCAACATGGACCAGAATTGAAAAAGTGCGCCAGTATCAAAGGCAACTTTGCGCGCTAATCATATCTCGAGGCAGATGGTCTTGGTAAAATCAGGCCACTACAAGACATTAGGTGCGCAAGACAAGATCTAGCTTTCGGTTCATACGTCGTGCTTTGCTGTGAAGTCCAGTGTTATTTTGCAATGGACGGAGACGCTGAACAGCGGTTGCAGAAGGCACGGAGCGCGTTGCGTCGAGAATGCAGTGGCTGCACTGAGCCAATGGCGGATTCAAAGCGTCCGCATGACTTGGCAAGTCCTCGGGGCTGCTTTGGCCGGCAAGAGACGTGTCACATTTGTCTGGAATCGCCCGGGGAGAGCTCAAAACGTTGGGGAGATGGGGTTCACGAAGTCAAATCCCGATGGCGCTCGACGTGTTTGGGTTTGGAGAATGCGAAAGGGAATTGGTCTGAGGGGGGAATTCCCACTGGACTCGCCTGTCCCATGTGGTTCGAACCGTGGTCAATTCAGCCTTACCCGGTCAGTATCTAGCTCGTACTCTACCGCGAGTAAGGCTTGAGGAGCCGACTCAATGTGTGTTAGTTGTGAAGTGGAGGAATGCTGCGAGGGATGAACTTGAGGGGCTGAAGGGCCTGGAGCGAGCTCTGTCTCGTGGAAGCAAGACATTTCCCCAGGACACGCTTTTCTAGCTAGTGGAAAATGAGACAGTGTACATGATACGCCGACTTCCAGCAACCCATGTGTTGTCTATGAGCTTTGGAATTCGACGCGTGCGAGGTCGTCTATAAAGTTGATGATGGCAGCTCCTCGGGAGCTTTGTTTCGCCAATCAATCCTGGGCCGACTAACACCAACTGACCTCTATTCCTTCCTTACAGCTGTTCGCAGCCATGTCGTTCTTTACCATTCGTTCACTCGTTACAGCTTTGCTGCTTGGCAACGCTCTTGCCCTGCCTGCCCACGAGGCCGAAACGGCGACGAAGTCGCCCAAGGACATATGCAATGACGGGAAGCTGGCCGCCGGGAACCCTCGTGCTGCCTTCTTCCGGAAGCTCGTGGGCGACTCCGCCTACAGCAACCACAGCCGATGCCCGTCGCCAAAGGACGGGCCCTTCAAGGTCGGTATCATTGGCGGTGGCGTTGCTGGCTTGTACGCCGCCATGATCCTGGACTCTCTGGACATTGACTACGACATCCACGAAGCGTCTGGTCGTGTCGGGGGTCGAATCTTCACCCATCGCTTTGAC